GAGCCGCCTGCAGGTGCGGGGGGGCCGGCAGTCATCGGGACAAGTCACTGCTAATGCAGTTGGTGGGATGGCTTCATCTCTCTTGGTGCTGGGAATAGGGGGAAGGGTGTAGCTGGGTGAGAATTTAAGGTGGGATCAACTGGAAAAGGGACTTTCCTATAAAACATCCCCACACCTCTACGGTTTAAAACGAACCACCTAGACGTACAGATCACCATTACCCGGCGGCACCGAACGAACGCACGGGTGACCGACGTACCCGGCGGGACCTTTCTGCAGGCGTTGTTCGGCGAGTTTGAGCGAGGACCCTGCGTAAAGGACGAAAAGCGAGATGAGGCTGGACAGTGGGGGGTTTGGGCAGGAGCTACACGGGACGTGCACTACGCAGTTAACCGGTTAATCGCACAGTATGGGTAGACCGGCTGCACGCAGACACCGTCAAAATGACAGTCCAGCTGTAAAAAGACCAACCAGCTATAAAGTTAGTGCTTGAAAACAGTAACAACTCTATATCTGGTTTCTATCCAGGTTTAATTTGAACCTGTAGCAGAGCCCCTAGTCATGGATTTGCTGGGGACTGACTATCAGCATCTCTTCAAAGATGAATGCAAGGGTACTAACAACCCCAGACCAAGAGAAGTGTTTGAGTACTCCAGGCCTTGGCATACAAAGGATCAAAGAAAGAAAGAAGGGAAAAAATGAGAAAGGAACAGAGAAGAAATGTAATAACTGAGGTCTTTGTTCTTGTCCTGAAAAACAGGAGCACATTGAAACTACTGATTTCAAAGGGTTTTTTTTCCTTGCAAGTAACCAATTCTGTTCTCTCCCTAGGTCTTTGCAAGGGAGGGAAATGTACCCAATATAATAATTGCTGTAAGTATTTGTTTTTTGCATGGTACCCTGCTCCTCCTTGCTATGCTTTCTGGTCAAACATTGTCTTTTACTAGATGTACAGACGCACTGAAGATGTTAATAAGTGAGCTTAGTCTGTAGCCAAGGATGAAGTTTGTGTTTAATCCGTTCTTCTGTCAGCAGTGTCCTTAGCTAGCTTCTGGCTTCAAGGAAAAAACCAGTCCTGCTGGGCATTATTCTGGCACCTGGCTGCCAGATGCCTGTTATTGACTGCTGTTGATGGAGACAGGATCCTGGAGTAGGTGACCTCCCAGTCTGGTTTTTCCCTTTGGCAATTCTTGTGATTCTGTTCCTGCTAATGGAAACCATCCAACCATTTTCAGGCATCACCTTTATCAGCCATTGCTTTTCATAGGGTCCTCCAGGAACTGGCAAGACCACCAGTATTCTCTGTTTGGCTCGTGCACTTCTTGGTCCTGCATTAAAAGACGCTGTTCTGGAACTGAATGCCTCAAATGATAGGTGAGTGAAAGCAGAGTCCTGATCAAGGCACGTAAATCTTGGAAAGAGATGGGATCTAAGACGTACCTTTGTCCTAAGTCATTGCTTTAACTCCTGACTGCTCCCTGCTCAGCATAGTGGCTGTATGGGACCCCCATCTTGAGGCATGTAGGTGTCTTTGGCATGGGGGGCTGTATTTTACTTTGGAAATCAGATGCTTAAAAGTGAGACATTGCAGCACTGAGCTTTCTCAGATGCGCAAGTGCTTTAAAATGATTGATGGAGAGTGCTGTGAGCGTATAGGATGGCTTGGACAGGGATGATCTTGCCTTGGGCAGGGAGGGAGTTGGACTAGATAGTCTCTGGAGGTCCCTTTCAGCCCTGCTTCTCTATGATTCTGAGTGCAGCATATTGTGCTGCCTTTATTAATGTTCATTATTGAGCAGCTGCCAAATCATAAATCTTGCCTCTCTAAACTGAGCACTGGAAGATAATATAATTTGGTTTCCAAGAAAATCGCTCAATTATTTTTCTGTCCAACAAAGCATCTGTTTAGTGACAGCGAAAAGGAGTCTGTCAAGTCCATTTCCTTAAATGGTGTAGTAAGCCAGAAGCAAGTCTGGGTGAACATTTAACTGCTTTAATTATTGTTTCAGGGGCATCGATGTGGTGAGGAACAAAATTAAGATGTTTGCTCAGCAGAAGGTCACACTTCCAAAAGGTCGGCATAAGATAATCATTCTGGATGAAGCCGACAGGTACGGTGTTTTTCTCCTGGTCTCAGCTCCTCAGAAGTATTCTACAGAATTTCGACTTGCATTAAAAGATAGGGCTTCTGTTGCAAGCATCCTTGTATTTTTATTGGCCTCAAAAATTAATTGTTATGAATAATTGTCTGTTAAGCAGCTGTCTGAAAGGACTCCTCTCTCAGGGCCATTTTATATTGCAGAGGAGATGGCGACTATCTGAATGGAGCACTTAAAGATTCAGTGGGATGTGAAATAGCATCCAATTTACTGGCTATTTCTAAGCTCTCATCTGGAAAGAGGGGGGTTGTTGCGGCGCACACAGCTCTGGACCATTTTGTTAGCAACAAAGGATGAAGCTGGCTGCCAGGGAGACTCATACCTGTGCGTTTATGGCCAAAAATGATTGTTCTTCTAAACATGAATGGGTTTCTTTAAGCTGTGCTTCAGTCGTATGTATTCTGCTTGCAATGCAAGGTGACTTGTTCACGCCTGATTGTCTAGATAAAATTACTTCAGTTTACATGTCCAGCCACAAGACCAAATCATTTGCAAGGTGTGAGCTAACAAACAGAAACTCTGAAGGCTGTATAAGCAATTAGATTGCAACTGGAAGCCAGTGAAGGGTAAAATAGACCCCAACTGTCTCTCTCTTTTTTTTTTTCCTCAGCATGACAGATGGAGCCCAGCAAGCCTTGAGAAGAACAATGGAAATTTATTCTAAAACCACTCGCTTTGCACTGGCATGCAATGCCTCTGATAAGATCATAGGTAAAAAAGCTGCTTGTCTTTAGACAGTCCTCTTTTTAAACCACTTCCATGCTGACCATTATCTTCCTACTATGTAGCATGTGATGATAGGGCTTGGAGATTAAAGTCTTCCACAATTTAAATCACCAAGTTCTCTGCAGTAGAGTATAAACATGAAACCCCAACCTCTCTCTTCATTGCTTTAGTCGAGAACTACGGAGCTTGATGTGATCGTTTAAAAAAAAAAAAAAATTAAAAAGTCAGGCTTTTCCAACAAGCAGCTGGTATGTAGCATGTCTGAAAGACAAGGCACCACATTAACAAATGCTGAGCACACTCTGGTTAGGGTATAATCTCTGCCCTGATATTTTATTTTTACCAGACTGCCCAAAATATTTAGAAGTATTTAGTCATCTGACATTCCTAAACCAATGATGGTTGGTGACAGGGAGGATACGAGGGCATGGATCACTCAAGACATGCCCCATTCAAATAGTTTCCCTCCAACACATCTATTACTTCCCACAGCCAGAAACAGGTTACTTGGGTACATAGACCATTGGTCTGACTCAGTTTGTACTTTTTATGTTCTTAACCTTTGCAAAGCAGAATTACATTACGTCAACAGTTAGATGGATATTCATGTGAACTGTGCCCTTTTTTCTTGGTTGGTTTTGGTTTTTATTCTCATTGTCCTATTTCCTGTGACACCAACCTTCTCGGAGTTACAAGTTTAATTACATTTGTCTTGTGGGCAGCATAGGATACTATTAAACTTCTGCTGGGGCGGTTAAGTAGGACAAACAAAAATGAGGGTCTCACATTTTGGACACTCGCAAACATTTCAGATGATCAGCAGAACAAAATTCAACTTTTAGATTAGTTTGTCACAAGCCAGATCTATCACAGCTGGTGTTTTTAACCTGCCTTAGAAGAAGCCATAGTAGACACCATTCCCTGCCAGCTTTCTCGGGGCTGAGCTACATCAGGGAAATTTTCCTGTTAGGAGAAGGGGAGTGAGGGGTTGGGCAGAAGCTTCCCAGCTACCTTTCTCCTAAATGTATGAATCTCTCCCCTCAGAGCCAATCCAGTCTCGCTGTGCAGTGCTGCGCTACACCAAGCTGACGGATGCACAGATCCTTGCCAGGTTAATGAAAATTGTAGAGAAAGAGGATGTGCCATATGCAGATGATGGACTGGAAGCCATTATATTCACAGCACAAGGAGATATGAGACAGGTAGAGAAACACCCCATTTAGAAAGAGACCTCCTTGCTGAAACTATGAAACTTTTAATTTGGCCTCGTATGCTTTAGGTTCCAGTCAGTAAAGAATTGAGGCCATCTTCAGTACTCAGGTCACTAACCTGCATGGTTAGATCCACCAGAGAACTGAGCTAATCTCCTTAACAGTTCACTCGTGGAAACTGGAGGATGACCTGTAGAGGAACTGGTTTGTCCAAATCATACAAGTCATGGTGTTTACCCATAAAAGTGCCAGTTGTCCCCAAAAATAAATCTATTTGACTCTGAGGAGGGGGAAGGCTAGAGGTGGAACACCTGAAAGTAATGGAAATGTTCTTCTTACTAATTGCAGGCCTTAAACAACTTGCAGTCCACGTATTCTGGATTTGGCTTTATTAACAGCGAGAATGTATTTAAGGTTAGTAGCTAGATTTGATTGCTCGCCATTGCTACGCGAATGGAAATATGCTGCAAGGAAACGTATCTGATATCAACCCCTCGTACCGACGTAGAGCACTGCAGTAGAAATCTGCTATGACACGTTAGACGCTCTCAAATTTTGAGATGTCTCTGTCAGTTTTTAGGTAGTTTTGCATATCTAACAGTAACTACATTAAATAAAATAAATGCATGCACTTTTTGAGAAGATGGCTAGAGTACAAAGTTTCCCCACTAATGCTGTAAAAAGAATATGGTACTTCAGCATGTTTGCTGAATTTTGAGATCTTTGGCTTTATAACCAAAATCAAGTCTCAAGTATACTGTTACCAGGACTGTTACAATGTTCATTAGTGATATGTTAGTTCTTTTTAGGCCAAGAAATTAAGTCACATTATCAGAAATATCAATCAGTTAAAAATAGTAGTGAGTTGGGCCTTTATTAGATGGTTCTCTCAGATAAGATACTGGAGTTAAATAAAAGCCTTTTTAAAATTATTCTGGGTTTTCCCGAGCAGGAAGGGAAAGCGTGCACTGGAGTCTCTTGAACTTCTGATTGCTCTTTTGGTACAGGTGTGCGATGAGCCACACCCTCTGCTGGTGAAAGAAATGATACAGCACTGTGTGAATGCAAACATTGATGAAGCATACAAGGTTTGGATGTCTGTTCTCAGTCACTTTCCCTA